CATACAAACATATGTTCGTACTTACATTTACATATATGGCGATATATACATATGTATGTATATGCTAAGTTTGTTGCAGTTGGCGGCTGATGGCATGAGCACTTGAAAGCGCGCGGACTCATCGTAAAATCGTAAAAGCATCTGTGGAAAAGAACATGAAATTGATTAATGCATTTACGGCGGCATAGCAGAAACTGCTTTCGAGTGTCTGTTGTATGTTGTATGTTGTTGTTGTTGGTGTTATCGTTGTTGTTGTATGCCAGCCAGGAAGGAAGCATGTATGCAACATATGCTCGACGTACCTACGTATGCATGTATGTAAGTCTTCAGCGACATTTAATGGTGTCTCTAGGTGGCACTCAGCTGCTTGCCACAGCCTTCTTAAAAGCTGGAGAGAGCATAAAGCGGGTACTGTCATGAATCTACATTAAGATTGAGTATACTCGTATATGCATATGTACATATGTGATTGTGTATAATTTTATATTGCCTCATATGCAAATGTGTTTAACTCACTTGATTTCCAGCACGAGTGAAAAGTACAAAAAAAAAACTAAAAAAAAAATTCTAAAAATCTCCACCAAAGCTTACAATCCGCGCTTCAATATCATTACCACATTACCATTTCCACTTCCCAGGCCATTTCCATAACTACTTCCACTTGCTGCATACACTTGTGTTTGTACATAACATACATGCGCACATATGTACAAATGTATGTATGTGCGCTTTTTTGTATGTAAGTGCAGATACTTGGTACTTAAACTTGAAAATTAATCTTATGAGCGTGTTGCTTATTGTTATAATAACGATGTGCAAAAGCACTTGTAATGGCTTATGTAGATATGCGTGCCGCTTTGCCACTTAAACTTATGTATGAATGCAACACATGGCATTGGAATGCAGTTGCAACACTATACTCTCCATAAAGATATCTAAATATTTTTACTATGAATGCCTATGGTTGCGTCTACAACATGCATGCCGCTTGCACAGCCAGCCACTTGGGCAATGAATACATTATTTATGGTTTTATCGAGTTGATTTTGAAGTAAACTCTGATTTCGAGGCGATTAAAGTGGTTTTTAGTGTTTTGATAGGGGAAATCGGAAAATGATGTCTTCATTTTCGAATGAACTCGATTTTTTGCATACATTTTTTTTTTGCTTATATTTATATTTTATTAATTTATTTTTTAGTTTCTTTACTGAAGTGCATGCATTGTAATGGAATAAATGTAGGTGGAGATTTATGTAAAGTAGGCGATGATCGTAGATCAGCATTTAAGCGGTGGATAATTTTGATCGAAGTAGGGCTTAAAATCAACCAAACGAGAGAGCTTTTTGTAAATTCGTTTTCCTTAACTTTTATAAATGTGTTTTTATAAAAATGATCATTTTTAATAAAATATTTTTCTCATTTAAATAATTTTATTAAAATTTATATATTATTTGAATCGATTCTGCTTTAATTTATTTTTTATGTTTTTAATATGTTTATTGTTATTTTATTTAGATTGTTTTATCTGAATTTTATTTGATCCTTATTTACTAACTTTTTATTTTAATTTTTTTTTTAAATTTACTTTAAGTTTAAAATGTTGTAATTTATCTTATTTTATTTTATTTATTTGATTTTAAACTCCTTTTTTTTCAATTATCAATTTTTGATTTAACTTATTAAGTTTCATTAATTTTATTTTGTTTTATTTAATAACTTTTTTGTATTATTTTATTCTGGTTAATTTATTTTGTTCGGGCTATTTTATTTTGTTATTTTATTTCACATGTTTTAATTTATTGATATGAAAATAAGTTTATTTTGTTTCAATTTTTCATTTATTTTTATTTAGTCATTTTATTTATTTTATTTAATTTAATCAATTTTATTTAACTTAATTTATTTATTTTTATTTTTTTTTTTAATTTATTTTTTTTATTTGGTTGTTTTTATGTTATTATTATTTGTTGTTGATAATTTTATTTAATTTTAGATAACTTTATTTTTAATTCTTCATTTTAGTTTATCGCATCTTATTATACTTTTTAGTTAATTTAATTTTATTTTATTTTATTTCATTTAATTTAAATTAATTTAATTTTTATATAATTTTTTTCTTTTATTTTATTTTATAATATTTTATTTCACTTTGTTTCACATCATATGTTTTAATTTGATTGTATTTTATGTTTTATTCTTTTATTTTATTTTAAATATTTTTATTTCGTTTTTGTTAATTTTATTTTCTTTTATCGTATTTAATATTTTTAATTAATTGATTATAAAATTTTTTGCTTAACAACAATTTTTTGTCGATTATCTTATCTTGTTTTATTTTATATGATTTCATTTAATTTTAATTTAATGTTATATTATTTTATTTTTTTCACATTATAATATTTTATTTTATTGTATTTTATTTTATTACTTTTTATTGTTGATAATTTTTTTTAAATTAGATAATTTTTATTTGGTAATGCTTTATTTTATTTTATCATATCTTATTTTATTTTTTTATTTAATTGAGTTTTATTTTATTTCATTTTAATTTATTTTTTTTTTTTTTACTTTAATTCATTTCATTTTTTAATTTTATTTTATATTATTTTTTTAAATTTATTTTACTTTATTTCACATTATATGTTTTTATTTGGTTGTATTTTATGTCATATTCTTTTATTTTATTTTAAATATTTCTATTTTCGTTTTTGTTAATTTTATTTTCTCTTATCGTATTTAATTTTTAATTAATTCAATATATTTTTTTGTCTTAATTTTTTTTCTTTTATCTTATCTGGTTTTATCTTATTTCATTTTGTTTTATTTAAAAAAAAGAACTATTTCTATTACATAGTCAAAAATAGATTTACATATATCCATGTACATTACAGTCCTCATTAAAATTTATTTATATTTATCTTTCAAAAGACAACACTTAATTTGTCTTTCCCACAAATGCAGCGACTTAAGTAAATTTGTCCGTTAATTTTCCTTTCAATCTAATTTCAGCTTCAAAACCAACGTAATCTATGTACATACATAAGTAGCAGGCAACTTTAGGTGCCTCATTATCACACAGCTTAGACCCGAAGACATATAACTCATATATCATATACTCTCTTTATGTCTGAGTATGGACATACATAGTTTCATCTATATTAACATATTCCTTATTATGTAAATAAAGGTACATACATAATTACATAAAATAAAGTACCAACATTCACCTGGTCGCTTATCACTTCTTTATCTAAGACTTACTTGACAGTCGCCAGTTGCCAGTCGCAGTCAAGTCAACCGGAAATTTACCTAACAACCACAGCTTAACTGACTTCCGTACTAATTGTGGCAGGATTTGTTGGATGAAAATCAACTAACATACTTACTTGCGTATTTATTTACTTGCTTACCAACTTACTTGCCTGTACTTTCCTCGAAGAAGGCGCATATAAATAACATAATTTCTCAAGATTTCAGAACATACTACACATACATATACGCGTACACGGTTAAATATATGGGTATGTGTGTGTAGTTTGGTATGTTTGTGCAACATTATGATTCTGAAGAAAATTTCAAGTTGTTTGCGGCAAGCAAACTACTTACTATTTTACATATCAAACATAGAAAATTGTAAGCATTAGTGAGACAAAACAATGAGAGACGCATTACATGATAACAAAACGCACATACATATACGCAGCAGCACAAATAATGCCTTTATAAATAGTATTTACTTCCATATATGTATGTATGTATGTATGTAAGTCTAAATTAAACTACCGACCAAAAGTCAGTCTTTATAGCTACTGACAGTAATACTATAGCTTCGGTTTGTTAAATCTACATATATATACTTACACTGTACTCTTATGTACTTGAAGTAAATACAGTGTACTCGCATAAATAGTTGTTCTCCTTCTCCAAAATAGGCATCAGCCATGACGGCCTTTGCAGCAAAGTCAACAATTTACGGTTAGTTAGATAAACTTGGCTGAAAATTAACCAAACACTCATTTAACACCGAAATTATGCATGGCCATATTATTATGCGTTGCATTCGGGCATAATGACAAATATTAATTTTCCACAAATAAACAAACAAACAAGTAAATGAATGAATTGATGCAAACAAAGTTTTGACATAGAGTGGAACTCAGAGAGAGAGAGGGACAGAAAGAGAAAGATTTTGGCTCTGAACTTTTCGGATTATAGAAAGCCCGTTGTTTTGATCGAAAGCTTTCGATTCTGGTGGACTAACCGCTCTAGTGAAAAGAGCTTTAAGTTCTCAATTAAAAAATAATAGTTAATCTTGTGAAAGCTTACAAAGGAGAACTTTCGGGTAATTATTTATACATGAAAGCTAATAACAATCTCAATAAATTTCCAAAATTCTCCATTCAATACTCTCTTAACAAAAGATGACGCTGTACGCTCTAGTTAAGAGTGTAAAGAGCTAAATAAAACAGTCAGTTTTAAAAAAGATTCGAAAGAAATGTTAGGAAAAAAAATATTATAAATATTTTCAGAATAGTTCTGCTAAGCATTTATACTGCATATTAAATGTTTATAAAGCTCAAACAAAGTGCTTTTATAAATAAAAAACAAAAATGCTTTCATAAAATTCCAAAAATAGCTCTACCACTTCCTTAAATAAAATATTAGTTCTGCTGCCATAAATACTCAGTGAATAATAACAAAGTTTGCTAAAGCATGAAAGCTACACACCTTTAGGTTTTTGGCGTGAAACTTAAATGTGAAAGTTACAAATTTAGGACGGAAACTACTTAATTCAGTGTGAAAGCTTACTTGAAATAGTTATCAATTATAAGATCATTTAAAATTTAAATATGATTTCACATTATAAATCATTTTATGCTTTTTTATGAAATTGACTGCAAGAAAAAAATCTGTTCTACAATATCTTTCCCTCAAAATTACTTTGAAATTAGCATTCTAAATTTTATATTTTTTTCTTTTTTTTGTGTGTTGTTTTCCAGGTGACGCCAGCAATGCCAGTATAGGTAGCGGCGAGGGCACAGGCGAAGAGGATGACGATGCGAATGGTAAAAAGAACCAAAAGAAACGTGGCATTTTCCCAAAAGTAGCAACAAATATCTTAAGAGCGTGGCTGTTTCAGCATTTAACGGTGAGTAGAAATGGAAATAAAAATATTTGTATCTATGTAAAGATAAAATTTTAATTTACTTGCAAAAGATGTTTATGCAAGTTGTGTTATTGCGTTATTACGATAAATCTTTTTTATGTCCAATTCAATGGCGTTGCTGCTATGCAGTACTGAGCTAAATTTTACACACTTATTTACATGATTTCATTTATTTGAGAGAAAAAGTTTAAATTTTACAAGCAATTTTTTATTGTTGTTTTATATAAAGAAAAATTTTCATGCAATTGTTTGTTATGTTTTTTTTTTACTGTTTGTATAAAATATTTAAGATTTATTTGCTATACATTTATAAATCATAAAGATTTGCAGCCCTATTTTATGTAATTCTTGGCTTCGACTTGACAACTATGAATTATGCCAACGGATGTTTGAGTTGAGCTGCCAAGTGATGAACGGAAGGGAGAATAAATGATATGAAAAAGTTAAAAAAAATAAAAAAAAAATCTGCGTTGGGAATGTATGCTTGATAAAGAGCTTTAAGAAGGTGCTTAGGCATTTAATTAACCTTCTTAATTTTTTTTTTTAAATTTTTTTTTTTTTAATTTTTTTATCTGTTTTTTTTTTTTTTTTTTTTTTTTTTAATTTTTAAAAATCCGTAAGCTATTTCACTGCGCAAACGAAATTTTTTCCACAAAGAAATGCTCACCTTATATATTTCAGCAGTAATCTGCTGTTTTATAGACACTCGTTAACCCTTCAAATATGACCCTTCATTAATTATGTCTTATCATGTCGCCTCGGTAGTTTGTCTCATATTTGACTTTACATGTACAGAAAATCGTTTGGTATCAAAAGTAATTTACTTAACTAATAGAATTATATAAATTTACAATATAAAATATAATATAAAATAGTATTAAGTAAGATAACATAAGATTAGTAAGTATAATATTAAAAAGTGGGTGGCTCATTAAAATCTTAAAGTATTTTGTCCCATGTTATTGTAATTTATATTATTTTTCCAGTTTGTTTATATTTATTTTCACATCATATTTTTTATTATATTAAAGTAAATAAATAAAAATATTTTTAAATAAATTTTGGTGCACTTAACTTTATTGTGTTAAATTTTGCTTCTTCATTTTAATTCATTATTTTATTTTATTTTATTTTACAATATATCAAAATAGCAATTATTTATTTTTAATTAGTTCAATTTATTTTTTATATTTATTTATATTATATTAATAAATTTTATTTAATTTCCTTATGTTTTTATTTTAGTTCATGTTAAATTCATTTAAATTACATTATTTTTCTTTATCTTATATTTTTACTTTAATTTAATTTAATTTTTTTTATTTATTTTAAATTTATATTATTTTATTTATTTTTTTTTTATTTTTAATTTTTTTTTGTATTTTATTTTATTATGCCTTATTTTACCTTTCTATTTTATTCCATTTTATATTAATTAATTTTGTTATTATTTTAATTTTTTTATTTCATTTTATTTAGTTCAATTTTATATTATTCAATTTTATTTTATATTTTCAGTTATTGCTATTTTGTTTTATATTGTTTCATTGTAATATATTTGATTTTATTTTTTTTTTATAGTTTGTATTATTTTATTTAAGTTTACTTAATATATTGCTTTTTAATTATTTAATTTAATTAATTTTTTTTTTGCATTATTTTGTTTTATTTTAGTTTATTTTATTTCATTTTTTATATTCTTTCCCCATATAATTAAAAGTTATTTTTGTTAAATTTTGTTAATTTAATTTTTATTTATTTACTATAATTTAATTTTATTTTTTTTTTGTGTAATTTAATGTGATTTTAGTATATGTTATTTGTTTTTACTTTTGATTTTTTATGGTTTTCCGTAAAATTTTCACCCAAAAATATATGAAGAAAATAGAAAATTAGTTAGCGTTATAAATATATGCCGGCTATTTTCCATATTTTCGCGGGCAACTAACCCATAAAATAATATATATCATATATTCAGCTTTCATACATATACATACATACGTATGTATATTTATGCAATACCTATTTGTCTGTATATGAAATTAGTATTCACCTGTCTGCATACGATTGTCCAGCTTCGAAACGCATGAACTTTTATTCATTCATACATATGTATGTATATACATATCTACATACATATATGTATGTGATTATGCACCACATATTGCTATCTTTGAACCCCATGCAATAGATAAGAATCTTTACGCCGTTGCGTTGCCTGCCATCGTTTTCACCGCCTGATTTCAAGCCAACGCATTAGTAGACTATAATACTGTATTTGTATGTTGTTGCTGTTATTGTTGGGCCAGGCGTTTGTTACTAAACGCTACAGCAATTGTTATTAAACAAGCTGATATCAGTGGTTATTACTGCTACCGCTAGCGGGTTGCCATATCATACCTGGATGCCATTACTGTGAACAGACGTTGTACGTACATACGTACATACATACAATACATATGAACTTATAAACATAATATAGAGTGTAAGTATGTATATAAGTGCATATTTGCTCATTTTTCCATTTTATTTTATTATTTATTTACGCAAGCACAGTGTATTCAGCCATTTACATACATACATACATATATACATTCATATGTATAAACTTATCTCGAAGTCTGCGGCAAACATGCATACAAATGTAGTTGAGTTTTAATCACTCCTTTCGCGATGAGACTCTCCCACTGTATATTTGTGCGCCTTACATAAACAAACAAACAAACATACTGTAATTTAATTTAAGTTTTTTTTGTTTTTGATTTTTCTTTTTCTCGCCACTCATAAATGCGATTAAAAATATTTATTCATTTATTTTTTCCCGCTCCGTACTCAGCAAATATAATATAATACACACTCGTATATGTACATACAATACCTACATATGTGTGTATATGTATGTGTGTATACACTCATTCATCTACCAACAACAATTAAAATACCATTCGTGGCGCCCATTGGAGCTCTCTCACTCCCATCGCCGTTTGGTAGGTGGAGTGATATTTTATTATGTCTATGCGTTTTGTTGTTGCGCTTCGCATATACACACACATACATAACCAATGCGCATGCTAGTTGTTGGTGTTGCTACTATTGTTGCACAGTAGCCGACTGTTGTATTGCTGCTATTGGTTGAAAATGTGTATAGTAGTTTTTACTATTGCTATTTTTGTTGCTGTTACGGTGTGAGGTTGTTGGCTTGTGGTTGTTGTTGGTTTGTGGCTTTAGCCACTGTTGCTTCTGCTGCTGTCTTATTGCTCTTTTAATTTTTTACTGTCTTCATATCTAGTTGCTGCTACTGGTCTTATTACGGACTATTATTATTGTTATTGTTGTTGTTGTTGTTGTTGTTGCTGTTCTTATTATTATTGTTAATCTCGTTATCTTGCTGCTGTTTCTGTTTTTAGATGTATGTATGTATGAGGTTGTTTGCTTGAGTGCTGCCTGCACGTTGACGCCGCCTGACAACTTAGTCGCTTTTATATATATGTACTTACGTGTGTATGTATGTATGTATTGATGTATGTACGTATGTATGTATGTAGTGTAAAGTTTACGTTGGCGTGCGCAAAATTAACTATGGCCGCCATCCGTTTCGACATATTACGCAGTAGCTGTGTACCATTGTACATATGTACAAAATATATATTTCCTAGGCATTCAGACAGTGGGAGCGGGTAGGTGGGTGTGTTAAAGATCATTTATGTCGAGCTAAATCTCTTTAAAACACGTTTATATGTATGTATGTATTATTATTTTTTTTAATAAATAAATCGTTAATTTCAAAAAAACCAGAATTCTATAAATTTAGAAAAGTCTTAAATTTCAAAATTAAGATTTATATAAAAATTTAATTTAAAAATAATTAATTTTCGAATTTTTAAAGTCAGAAAAAAAATTAAAAATTAAAGTCAATTAAATTTTTATATCCATGCGAGGAGCGAAATCACTTTTATCGGACCGGAACCCTGACCTTCCGAATGTCTTTACGCAATGATAACCACTCGGTTATTGCCGCCGCCATATTAGTTACCATTTTTCCAAAAAATGTTTTAAAAATTTAATTAATTTAATTTTTAGTGTTGTCGTTACCGCTGCAGCTCTTTCATCTTCTGTTTCTAGCTAGTAGCTTAGTCTAATGCCTTATGCAGTGTCATACTTTTCATCGAATTTGAATGATCCATAGCTGAAAATCTTCCCAAATTCCGTTGTCGTAAGTGCGAGGGACTCTGGGGCAACAAGTTTTCAGGATAACCACAACCTGCAAGCCAAAAGTACAACCATTTTTTGCTAGTCCACTTTATACATTCTTTTTGATAAGTATCATCTCAGCAATCCATATTCATCCAATGGGAATACTGATCTGTGCGATATTCAAAGCCACAATTTTTCATATTTTTGAAAGCAACATTTTTTACATTTGTTTGATATATTTTGGCAAGTTGAAAAACTCAACTAGCGCAGCAACTTTGGAAGTCCTAGAACCGAAAAACTAATTTTCAACACCCTCATCTCAATTTTGAGTTTTACTATTGAAAAGAGAAGAAGAAATGGTAATGGAATGATGCGAAGTCTGGACTAGAGCGCGATTTTCGCAACAGTCTACCAATTTTTGGCGGGTCATTAAAGAGATGTGCGATCTGGCATCGCCATACTGGAACATCACTTCTTGCCGATCGCGAGGTTTATACTATTATGAAAGAGAGCAAACCAATTCAGAAAAGGGGCTTTTCTGCTGAGCTTGTACCCTAAATTTTGCCCTTTTAGAAGTACAACAATTCTTTTTGATTGCTTTGACTACGGACGATCTGTCGTGGATCGTATTTGCAGTACGCTTTGCTTGGGGTTTTTTTCGATTAGCATACAAAAAAAAATTCCTTACGAGAAATAGTGGTGCTTTGCACTGATTTAAGAAATTCCAAAATTCCAACACAAACAATGCTACATTATATTATTTAAAAATACTTCTAATTAAAGTATTC